CGTTAAATCTAAAATGTAAAAGCAATTGTTTTTACATTTAAGGTTGGGTATCTGCACCTTCATCTTCCTATTCCAAAACAATTACTTTAAAACTCAAAGAAAAAGATATACTAAAGGATATCCTAAAAGACAGAAAGTTGACCTCGTATTTAAATTGTTAATGAAGGGGCACCTGGGTGGCTCAGTCCGACTTCAGGACCTGGTTCGGGTCATGATCTCACTGTTGGTGGGTTCGAGCCCCACATCAGGCTTTGTGCTGTCAGCTCAAAGCCTGGAGTCTGCTTCAGATTCTGTGTCTCCCTCTCTCTCTGTTCCTCCCCTGCTCATGCTCTGTCTCTCTCTCAAAAATAAATAAACATTAAAAATAAACAAATAAATAAATTGTTAATGAAAATAGAGGTGCCTGCATGGCTCAGTCAGTTAAGCATGTGACTTCGGCTCAGGTCATGATCTCACAGCTTGTGAGTTCGGGCCCCGCATAGGGCTCTGTGCTGACAGCTCAGGGCCTGGAGCCCGCCTCGGATTCTGTGTGTACGTCTCTCTCTCTCTCTCTGCTCCTCCCCTGCTTGTGTTCTGTCTCTCAAAAATAAACATTAGAAAAAGATTTTAAAAATGTTAATGAAAACAGATGAAAATAAAATTCACTACAGGTACGTATGCCTCACTGTATATAACAAGCAAGTCTCATTATCTAATCAAATTGTTCTTCAAATACATTATAAGCCATGACTACTTAAAGGAACACTACAGGGACTGTTCTAAAAGGCATTCAATACTCACAGCTATAATCTTGTCTTTAATTTTTTTTTTTCCAAGTTGGAACTTTCATATACACCTTTTCTCTAAAAGACTCCTTTGCTACTTAGCTTTTATCTTAAATGAGCCACTTAACAGCAGACCATATTTATCCTAAAATATATTTTTCTTTACATGCCTACTGACTATGCAGTTACTCTCATTCATCAGAACTTGCCAGAAGCAAATGTCCAACATGGTTTAGTTACCCAAATAACAGTATTAAATTTGAACAAGCGTATATTACCACACGTTTATTACAAATTTTAACGCTGATAAATACACACTATGAAGCACACCCTGCTCATTACCTTAAAATACCTTAAATGAAAAGAGCAAACCTAGTTTACCCTCTACTTAAAATCACCATTCCTATGTATATTACAGTTCAATTAAAACACATATTGGTAACATTTGGTTTCCTTTCTTGACTTTTTTTCAAATGCTACAAATAATACTACAACAATTTGAAAAGCTTACTCCATGTTTAAAAGGATGAGCAGATATTTACTAATCTACTACGGATTTTCTTTAATTACTTTTGAGAAGCGGATGCAAATATAAAAGGGAAACACCTGGAATCCTTGCAGTGATGTAAACGTTTTGGTATCCTCACTGTATCACTGTCAATAACCTAGTTCCAATATTGTACTACAGTTTGGCAAGATGTTACTTTTGTGGAAAACTTGCTAACGTATACATGGGAACTCTATAATGTTTCTTAAATTATATGAATATATGCCTTCATATGTATATGAATCTAAATTATCTTGAGACAAAAAGTCTAATTAAAAATTTTAATTTAATGACAACTCATTTTTTTCTGGCTCTATATCAATACTTTCTAAAAGCATAAAGCTTGTACAAGTGAAAAATTTTCCCACAAAAAAGCAGTAAGTAACTTAAGAATGAAAAATTGTATTCCTTTTAAAAATTAAGAGCTGGTAAAGAGTTCTTACAATTATTTCCAAAACTCTTGAGCAAGAAGAAATCTATCATGCTACAAAAGTCTGCTTTGAGTAACGAAAAGTAAAGCTTTACTTGCTAATTAAAATAACTTTCTAGAAATATCAAACACAAATAGACACATTATATATAAATAGCTTACAAAATGAATTTATCCCACTTCCTTCCAATATGTTTTACTACTTGGATTCAATAAAGGAAATTTGGGGAGTATCATGTAAATGTTCAAACTACTAAAAATATGGGCACCTGGCTGGATCAGTTGGTTAAACTTCCGACTGTTGATTTCGGTTCAGGTCATGGTTTCATGGTTCATGACACTGAGCCCCACGTCAGCCTCTGCAATGACAGAACTGAGACTGCTTGGGATTCTCTCTCTCCCTCTCTCTCTGCAGCGCCTGCACACACGCAAGCATTCTTTCTCTCTCTCTTTGAAAATAAATAAACATTAAAAAAAAAAAACTACTAAAAATTAAACCCAGTATCACACACTCAAAATTCTGAAGTGGGAGGGGAAAGCAGACTTAAACACCTGAATGAACTACTTCCTTCCATTTTACCAATCGTTTAATCAAGTTTTCCCCTGATACACTGGCCTCTAACATAGTACCTTACTTTTAACGCCTACAAAGAGAAATACCTCTCAAGGTCACTTATAAGAACATCTCAGACTCTGTACTACCAAGGGGGCAAATTCAGTCTTATGATCATAATTCCAAGAAAATGTACACCTTGATAAAGAAATAGCATTGTAACAGATTTCTCCAGTCAAGTAAGTAATAGTAAATACATATGCATTTTTTCCAGTCACTTCTGAAGAAGTATCAGCTATTATATGTTATTTGTTTTAGGAATAAGATTTAAAAAAAAATTATGCACTGCAAAATATGTTTTCAGCTAAAGAATTCTAAATGTATTATATTTTTTCTCAAAAAAAGCCCAATGTGAAATTAAGTCATCCTCAAAAAGAACATAAGAAAAAAAATTATACCGCACAACTACAGTTTTCATGAGGCAAAAGACGGGCGTTTTACAATGTTACTCCAAAGACCAAAAAAAACCAAAAAAACCTCTAATCTTTAAGTCAGTTCTTCAGAAAGAAAATCAGATCTTCAGCTCCTTTTATACTGCAAAGAAACTGGCATTAGGGCATATCATGTATCTTTCAAAATCAGGACAGAAGATAATTCAGATGGCAATAAACCATATAAAGAAAATAATATTGTTGTACCAGTTTCTTCAAGAAAAAATGGCTATAGAAAATCTTTATCTACCAATACACTCTGATATAAAATAATCACTCATGCCATTGTCCTTTCCCCAAAATTTAAATCTATTCACTAATTATTAAAGGTCATGCCTTTTTTTCCCTGGAATTTAAAACAAACCACTGAAATAAATATTACCATGTCCACTGAACACATGTGTTTAAGGTCAAACTTTCAACAGATAAGTAACAAACCTAACAGTTTTAAAATTAAAAATTTCCCACTCCAAAGAATCAAATACTGTATGACTACTTCTGCAATGCTGAAAAATAATTTTTCATTGTATAATGCAAGCGACAGAAAGAAGGCTCACAAATGCTCCAATGTCATGCTTATAATAATACAAACCAAGTTCACATATACTTTCAAATTTCACACACTACATAAATCATACATTAATTTTTAAAAGTGAAAAAAATATAATTGCCTTTATTCTAAAACCAAAGTATTTCTGATATCAATTTTCTAAAGTTCATGTCCTTCTTATCAATGAATGTCAGTTAAATACATTTTCCACAATTCAAGCTGGAACAGACTAAAACAGTAATATCTCTACTTATTTAAGGAAATATAGTAAGTATCTTCTATGTATCAAACTAAATCTGAAAGTACTGGAAAATGAATTATTAGTTGCAAAAACTGAGATACAGTCAAAACAGTAGTAAAGAAAATATATAGCCTTCTTCTACATTAACTACTGATATTTTATCATATCCTTTTGAATAGGTTTATATTAGCCTTTAGGATGTTTAACAGCTAAAGTGTTTTTATTTTATTTATTTGAGGTGTTAAACAGCATGCTATATTTTACCCATGAACTGCAATTTCATCATGAAATAAAATTTTAATAAATTATATTACTGAACTATTTTTAAACAGAAACACTTTTTAAATATAAAGTGGTAAAAATGTTCTAGGTTATGACATTTCCTTCTTTCCTCGTGTTTTGCTCTCACAGTATCTTAAGAAATCAACTATCATTTTACTAGGGAAAATACAAGCACCGGTCAAAGAGCAGTTACTAAATTTCAGTCTAGGGATTTCACAGCTGGTTTTCTTAAGATGACGCTGTCCATGGCATTATTTTTTCGTCTTTGAGAACTAAGGAATAAGTTTAACTTAAAAAGAAAATTATAGCTTTTGTACACTGGAATGGACCTTGCTTCTGGACTGGTTAGTTTTGAAATCACGAGTTTAAATAAGTTAGGGAAAAAACAAATGCATACTTAAGAAATATGAGATAAATGTTAATAATGGAGAATAGTTATAAATATAAAGTAAATTTAAAGACCACAGCGCTAATGTAGGAATAGGAATCTTATTAAACTTATTCTAAATATTATTCTAATGTAATCTGAATGTAGAATTCAGTCATCTAACAGATATCATTTGAAAATAAATCTTTCTATTCATTTATTTGTAACATTTGTTCCTTTAACATTTTTAAAACTGTCCCAATTTTTAATTTGCTCCAGACTTCCAAAGGATTAACCACCTTTTAAAATAAGTCTTACTAATTCTTACTTGACTCAATATGCATACAATACTATTTTACCAAATTTTTAGAACACAAAGGTTTAATAATGCTAATAGGCTCAAATTTTAGCAAAATTTAAAAATATACATATGTAAACAAACATTTAAAAAAAACTATATATAGACCACACATGGACCACAGAGCCTTTTTTCTGGTACTTGTCCAAACACAGAGGCAGGATATGATCCCTTGTACTCAAAGAAGACAAATTCAACTTAAAGATTCATGGAAAACAGAAGAATTTTACATCGATATTTATTCTTATAGAAATATCAATGGATCCTAAAGTCAACAGCCCATCTGAGGCTTGTTTTTGCTTCTAATTTGAAATGGACACAACAGAATGGCATGAAGATATTAAAATACTTCATATTTTTCTACTAACATGTATCAAACACTAAAATAAGAGTTCCTGATTTTAGATACCATCTTACCTGATCCACTGAACTGACTGCTTCCCAGCGTTGTTGGTCTGGTTTTCCCACTATTAACAGGTGGAGAAAACATCTACAAAATAACCCAAATATATCTGTTAGTCCTGAAATTCTTCTAGACTCCTTGCAAACAAAAGTCTGCCAAGAGCCATCAGTTACGTATTTTAGAAGGAAGTTAAGATAAAATGGAGATATACATTCAGACCCACAAAGGCAATTACACTCAGTGATATTATTTCCTAATACTACTTAGAAATATTGGTTATATTCTGTTCTCAAAACCCACTCATTTACATGAGAAAGTCTAAAATTATTAAGTTTAAATGGCAAATTTATGTCCATCACCTTTACTTTCTAACAAAAATCTCACATTTACATTACCACATAGTCAGAATCATACGCAAAGAAACTACTACATACAGTAAGGATCCATTATAATCCAGTTTTATAAAGTAGGTGTTGGTCCTGACTCCTAACAACAGTTAATAAAGGAATTCAGCCCATGAAAGATAAAGGCAGTAGGCTTTCTTCGGTTTAAGCTATTCTTCTCAATCATTTCCTATGGTAAAAACTTTAAAATACATATACCTTACTTATGTACACATATACATACATATACACATTCACACACATAAATTTACGTACTTAAAAGTGTTCAGCCAAAAAGACTGGAAATTCTAGCCTGTATCTTACTTTCTCATAACTGACATCTTTCAGATATCATAAATTCTATCACATCTCGGGGAGGGAAATAGAGTGCAGAAAAAATAATTTTCTTTTTTCATTCAAAGTTCAAAATCCCTAATAATCATCAGGGTCAGAGGGTGACTCAACCAAAGCTCATGGTTACATTGTTCTCCTTTTAACTGGTTCAATCAAATGACCCCTCTGGCATTAAAGTTTTAAATCTGCAAGTCTAGACATTACATCAAAGTTCAGGTGTCCAACTTGGGGGAGCTGGACTCCAGCCCTGAGAACTACTGCTCAAAGCAGATGGAGTTCACGCTGCCTAGTCTCCACGTCGCTTCCCACACCACCACCACCCCCCGCCTTTTTTCCTCTCTTTCTTTCTTTCTTTCTTTCTT